TTTTCTTAGATTACATATTTTTTTAATAAAGATGATACTAAAAATGGTAATGAATTGGAAAACATTCGTAAATTTATAATCTATTCAACAATAAAAATTTAACCATGAATTAAAAAAATAACATATTTGAAAATATATTATGAATTTTTAAAATAATGGATTTGAAATGTATTGATGATTTTTAGATTGTTTTAAATTTCAAAATCTATGTGGTTAAAAATATTCATTATGAAAAGATTAATAAAAGAAAATAGGAAATTAACATGGATAAAATCAAAGAAATTCATGAGGAAAATAGAAGAAAACTTCATTCTGGCACATTCGAGGCTTAGATTTTCTTACCCAACCTACATTATGTAGTTTCTCTAGTGGTGAATAGGTTATTGTATATATTCATGTAAACTTCCCGTAGTAAAATATTTTTGTAAATTGACAATTCACATGCCATGTTGATTAGTAAGAGCCCAAGACTTGAGGATATTATGGGAAGTTCTATGGCTCCAAGGGCATTGCCATCTTTTTTTGCAATCTCTAAGGGCACCAATGATAGTGTTAAGAAGGCACTCATGGGTGATGCTTGGAGAACTAGCACCAACCCTTCCAATGGAATCAATGTGACTATTGCATCTTTGTTTTCGCTTTGGGCAATGCTTCAGGAGGTGAGCCTAAATGTTGAATGAGCCAACACAATTACTCAGAAGCTAAACGATAGTGGCATCTACTATTCAACCTCCTAAACCTACTATGCGCACTTTCAAGGCACCACTTTGTTGGTTCTAAAGCCACTGATATAGAGCAACCCCCCCCCCTCCCCTCCCCCAACAACATGCACAATTTTTTGGCATGACTTATTTTGCAAGATCATGTCCGGACTACTGGCCAGCTCTAGAGAAGAGGGTGGCCAAATTGCAGCCTTTGACATCTTTGCATGAGGGAGCCGGAGACCACCGCCCACATTCTATTCAAATACCGCCTTTGCATCCACAGTTTGACCCGCTGGTACGGACTGTCTAGGCCTGGCTAATATGAGTGTCGATGCCTGATTGAATTGCAATACTGTTTTGAAATGTTGGTTTGCTGCCACTCACCCATCGGCGGCCAGAGTAAAATCAACATCTTTGGTAATGCTAGTCTTTTGGGAGACGGGCGTGTGTTCCAGGACCACTCTTTGATGCCTCCAATCCTCATAGTCAAGATCAAAATGGAGGATGGTGATTGGGTTACCGCATGGCTAAAAGATATTATTCTATTTCATATCATGCTGAGAGAGTAGATTTTTTGTTGGTTCCGCGCCTTTGGACGTTCATGTTGATTAGTAAGAGCCCAAGACTTGAGGATATTTGTGTAAATTAACAGTTCACAGTTGGACCCGCTATTACGGACTGCCTAGGCCTGGCTAATATAAGCATCGATACTTGATAGAATTTTAATACTGTTTTGAAATGGTGGCTTGCCGTCACTCACCCCATCCGCGGCCAGAGTAAAACCAACATCTTTGGTAATTCTAGTCTTTTGGTGAACAGATGGAATGGCCATGTGTTTGGGGACCACCCTTCGATGCCTCCAATCCCCATAGCCAAGATCAAATTGGAGGATGGTGATTGCGTTACCGCATGGTTAAAAAAATACTACCTCCAAGCATCCGAAGCAAAATGAGCGAATCTACAATCTAAAATATGTCTACGTATATCCGTATGTTGTAGTCCAGTTGAAATGTTTAAAAAGACAAATATTTAGGAACGAAGAGTATTTCATATCATGCTGAGAGAGTAGACCTTTTGTTCGTTCCGCGCCTTTGGACATTCATGTGTATGATGAGTACGATTGTTCCTTATAATTACCAACGAGTCCAGCGAACAATACGAGATCAGACGTCCGAATTTTCTAATGCCAGCAACTTTATGCATCCAGTATTTTGCAATAAAATAGCTATCAAAAATCCTTTTTTTAAGCCACAAGAAAGAAAGCACACGCGAAATTCATGCAACCGACAGCGTTTCATAACGCGCCACAGCACAACACACCAGCCTCAAATTTGCGCAAGATTTAAAGCAAAAGAAGGCGAAAAAGCAAGCAGGCATGTGACAAAAATGGTGCATCAACTGGCGACCAAACCATTTGTTAGCCCCCCAAGTTGCATTCGACGCACCAAGGCAGCAGCCTACACAGAAATATTTAACGGGCGGCCTCGTTGATGGTATGATCAGTACTACATTTCGTAGCAGGCGGTTGTATTAATTAACGGTTGAAATCTTCATGAGTACGAGCCCGGATCGGATCAATCATACGCCTGTCGCCGTACTTTATTGGCGAAAAAAGATCGCTGGCCAGCGTAGGAGCGAGTGAGGCCATATCTCTGTAGTGGCACTACACAAAGCAGAGTACGTAGCTTCCCATGTCTGTGTGCGAAGGATGGATCGCCAAAAGGGATCCGCGGCCGGAGCCAGCCTGAGGGCAGCAGTATATTCCATTCCACCCGGTTCTGGTTCCGCCATGTGCGCGCGGGTGGAGCGGCAAATGTTGGTCAGTCAGTAGCGGCAGCGTCTAGCGCTAGAAGAAAGATTATACTCTCCCGCGATGCATGTGATCGCGATTGCTGGCTGGATCTGGGAAACGTGAGGGAGCTTAGCCATCAGCGATGATGTCTCGCATAGTTTATAGCTGTCGGTCCGTAAGCTGTTGTGGTGCTCGCTCAAGTGCGGCATCAATGTCATCGAACGAGAATTGTCAGGGTTCTAACCAGCCCCATCAGCTTTGGATTGGATATATATGTACGTGTGCCCCGTCGATGTTCCCAGAGTTTGTGTGGGCATCTTGTTGATCATTTGACAGTCCTCGTCTCCGACCAATGTGAAATTCCGATGCTTTGCGTTGACAAGGTTTGTTAATTTTCTCGTGCGGGGCGATGACGATGAGAAATGCAGATAAGCACAAAGCGATATACGTACATTACATACGCCCATCCGGAATTTGGATTCTAGCTGCTCCTAGCTGCATGGAGATTTAAAGAATGGTCTGCCTGCCCATCGTCACCGAAAGGTAAAAAGGACGATCGACACAAGTGGCAAAAGAATAGAATTATCCGCCCAATTGGCCGCCAATTCATACGCTCCATGTGCCAACCTAGCTCTAGCCCCCTGTAGCCAGCCCTAGCCTCCTTTGCTGCTGTATGCAGATGTAGCACCAGAGGACCACTTATCCCGTGAAGGATAAGTAAGAAACGGAACACAGCTGAGCACACACCCCAGCGGTTACAACTAGTAGCACTATCACTACGTCCGGATCCAATCGGCTGGTTAAATTTAAAGATAAGCCATGTTCCTGCGTGTGGCCGACGCCGATGCCGATGCCGATCCATCCATGGTAATTGCATACACGCATGATCAGGGTAATCACTATAGCTAAGCTAGGGAGGGAGGCAGCAGGTTTGTTTGCTTGAAGCACACACATGTAAGCGCGCGCGTGTGTGTGAGAGAGAGTAAATGCCATCCTTGCGTAGGAGGCAATGCCCGACGGAAAAGCTTCACGGCAAAGCCTGGCTGACATGGTGATTTCCGGCCGCTTTCGGCTTTTGCTTGTGCAGGCGACAAGGGTGCGCGCTTCAGCTGCTCGCTACAGCTACATGTCGCCAGGATCTAGCTAGCCTGTACCTTTGTGTCTCTGCTCTGCTCTGCTCAAGCAGGGCATGTCATGTCACAAGATCGTTTTCGTTTCTCTCGGTACCATTTTTAACCCGTCAGTCAAATTAACTCGTACTATGATCGACTCCCTCAGCCAAAACGCACACCCGGCTAAACCCTACGCTTCCGGGAGACGCCCGAGGATGACTGCTTTAATCAAGCGAGCAGGCTCAAATACTGCTGCGCCGCCAGTGTGCGTATGAATCAATGTGGGACGCACGAAATGGAGATGCATGTAACTGTGCTCGCCACTGGAGCGTGCATCGACCCTGGCCGCGGCGGCGGCACGACCGAACGAAGTCAATTCTACTACTAGTACTACTTTGCACCCAAATCAAGCATGTTCCGCTGACATAGTGCCCCGAGTTTTTTAGCACATTCGGGGAGGAAAAACGGCACATAATTAGCTGCGTTTGGCATCAATGTAGCAGTACAGTACGTCGTCAGAAGCTGGCTACTTTTCATGCCCGGAACATCGTCGCACGTGAAGCAACCCTCGCCCACGCCAGGCGCGCCCACCGACTTGGAAAAATCTCGTCCTCTCGGGCGTCAGGCCTGCCCAACACAGGAAGAAAAATCTGGCCGTAAAGCGCAGAATGTGCCCGCCCTTCTCCGTCGTCCTGCAGACGCGCACAGGCACGCTTGTCCACATGGAACTTTCGTCACCGTCACAGTCACAGCCACAGCGTCACTATTACTTACCGTAAACGTACAGATCCTATGTGCTGTGCTCTGCAGTGCCAGTGCCACAGATCCTAAATTGGTGGTGGTTCGCATGTTACCTCGCGGCCGAAACACCGCGCGCCATGACCACAAGTCGGACGGCTGGACATCGCTCGCCTCGACGTCAACGATACAAAATCCACACTCCGCTCTGCCCTGCCCAGCTCGCGCTACAACCGCATGGTGGGAGCAGAAAGCGAGACCGACACGGCGGTGCGAGGCGCGCGTGCCAAACGTGCATGCGGCGAGGTAGGTGCTCTGCTCACACAAGCGTCCCTCTCAGGGGCTGCCAATTGGTGGAGGGGCGGGACCGCGCGCATCCACCCGACTCAGCCAGCTCGCGACCCAACGGCGGCCACGTCGAGCAAACCATCCATCCCGCCGGGCCCCGCCGGCGACGCCACTCACTCACTCACACACACCCGACGTCGCCGCCTCATAACTAACCAACCCCGCCGGCCGTACCGCGCCGCGAGCCGCAACCACCGCTAGCCCCATCGCCACTCACGCGTGACGCATGACCGACCAAACGAAAAAAATCGCCCGTTCGATCCGCATTCCCTCCTCCGCAATGTCATCGCTGGCATTCGCGCCGTGTTAAGTCGGAGCCGGAGTACTCACCACTCCTGCCAATAATGGCGACGCGGGAGGAAGAAAGGTAGGCATGGTGGCGCTGTAATAAACGGGCCGGGCCGGCCAGCTTGGGCGGGACTTGGGACAAGCGAAACATGACATGGGATCGGAAAAGAATCCGTTGCTTGTGATTGGAACGGTACTGCAATCGCTAACCACGTGATTTCCATCATCGCTGCGCCCGCCGTTACAGCTGCCCGTGCCATCGTACCGATCGCCGTTGCCTTGTGCGGCGTGCTGGCTGCTCGAGGCCCCCGCCTCCCCGGCGGAGCCGCCGCCCGCGGGTGAGTCGCTGGCGTCGGTGTCCGTGCCCGCCTCCGGCTGCTCCGGCGGCATTGCTGGCTCGTGTTCGGTGTCGTCGTCGACGCTGGGGCCGGCGTGGACCGTGATCCAGCTCGCGTCCCAGGTCCAGTCCGGCACGGCCGGCGCGCCCGCGGCCAGCGCGCGCACCCTGTCCGTGGGATCGGCGGTGTCTGCCGCCGTGTCGTCGTCGTCGTCCTCCCACAGGGCCTGATCGAGCACGCTCTTGGGGGACACGAACGTGGCCTTCTCGGTGACCCCTGGCACGGAATTGGACGTCGAGGCGGCGGCGTCGACGGCCACGAACTCGTGATCGAGCAGCTGCTCTGCCGTCCACCTCTCGCTGGGGTCCTGCCGCAGACACCTCGCCAGGAAGTCCTTGCCCTGGTCCGACAGGCACGGCGGGAGCTCCGGCGCCTCGCCCGAGAAGGCGACGTGGTGCAGCGTCGCGACGGGGGTGGCGAACCGCTGCCACGGGCCGGCGCCGGTGGCCATCTCGATGACGGTGCAGCCGAGCGCCCATATGTCGGCGGGCGGGCCCTGCGCCTCGCCCCGCGCGGCCTCGGGCGCCATGAACACGGGCGTGCCGCCCGTCGGCCGCGGCTCCTCGCCGGCAATGCCCGTCCGGCGCGCGCATCCGAAGTCGGCGATCAGGGCGCGGCCGTCGGCGCCGATGAGCACGTTGCGGGCCTTGACGTCGCAGTGGGCGACGCCGGCGGCGTGCACGTGCGCGAGCCCGCGCAGGACGTCGCGCGCGCGGGACCGGATGAGGCCCTCGGCGCACCGGCCGCCGCACCGCCTGATCTCGTCGGCCAGCGACCCGCCCGGCGCGTACTCCATGAGCATGTCGAGGCCGCCGCCGCCGCTCCCGTCCTCGGCGTCCAGGCAGCGCACGACGTAGGGCGAGCTGAGGCCGCGGAGGACGGCCCGCTCGCGCCGGAGCTCGGCGGCCCGGCCGGCGCCCACGGACTTGACCGCGAGCACGGCGCCGGTGCGGCGGTCGACGGCGACGGACACGGTGGCCGAGGAGCCCCTGCCGATGGCCGGCCCGCGCGTCCACTCCACGACGCCCATTCCCGCAGCAGCCGCCGCAAGAACGGCGAGCGGTGGCGTGTGGTCTGTCTTGAGAGCTTGGTGTGTCCGACTCGTGGTGGACGCAATTGGAATTTGGGATGCGGGCGAGCGGTAGCAGCAGACCCTGCGCTTTGGTGTGATGGGCTGCGCTGGGATGCTTATATACTAGTCCTGGTCCTGGTCCAGGTCCTGCAACTACAAGGAGGGGGTTGGATTGGATGCTTTGGACGAGCGAGGTGGTTAATTGTGGGCTGTCCAAAGCGAGCAAACCCAGCGTCCGAGCTGGCGCGAGGGCCAGGCGGCCGTCGCGAGGAGAGGGGAGGAGATTCGCCATTTGGCGGCACCGGACTGGCGACACATTGGCGTGCCTTGCTATTCTATGCTGCCTCTAGCAGAGTATTCTTTTCTTTTCTTCTTTTTCTCCGTTTATCTTGGCGGCAGGAAGAGAAGACGAGGCACCTAATGGTGGTGGTACAATACCAACGGGGGTAGTAATAGTATATGCTGTGCTGGACCTCCGGTCAGGGTGTCCAGCCTGGGAGGGGAGGGGACACTTGTCGTCGGGAGCGCTTTTGCCTAGCTCAGCACAGCAGGCAGCTCATGGCCTGGCCTCGTGGGGAATGGAATATTGCCCTGGAACTGCAAGGCCTCGCTCCTTCCTTTCCTTGCCTGCGTTTCTCGTTTGTCTGTTTCTCTGCAGCGCTCGGTGGAAAGCTTCTTGCTTGCTCCAATTGCAGTTTGCAAATTCCATTCCCTTGTTCCATAGACACTACTTTGCTGCTTTCGATGGAATTCTCATCTTATTTTGCAATGTCTTTCCCCGGCAAATCGAGTAATGGGACAATACTTTGTTGTGCAACGCGAGATGCCCTTTTCTTCATCGGTTTCCACAGCAGAAAACAGGCCGTAAAACAGAGGACAGCTTGATCACAGATCAACTGCAAAAGAATGGGCCTGTCACTAACCTCAATCTGCAACCGCAATAACATCTCTCTCACCTGACCAGACCACCCTAACTGCACCGCTACTGCCAGGGCCAACCACTTACCACCAGTTCCGAATCAGATGCCCGTCGGCCGGTCGTCTCCACCCCGACGGCTCACGCAATACCATAGCCTTTACCACATCCAGTGACGCAGCCAAGGATTGTTAACTCCTCCCCTCCTCCTCCTCCGAAAGCACGCATTTTTTTCCTTCTCTGTGCGCGCTTGATTTGATTTGATCAGATCTGATTTGATGCTCAACCGCAAGAACAGCAGCCAACACTGCGATACTCCGGCAACTGTACCCTGTGGCTTGCCCGCAAGGTTCTCCTCCGGATTGGTCCACCGCCCCTTTTTTTCCGGTTCAACCTCAGCAACCGGCCCGGCGAGCGAGAGTGTGGTGGCAAAGGCACGTCCTGTTGAATTGAACAGATCTCTCCCTCCCTCCCTCCGTTGGCGTTGCGTCGCGGCACGGGACGGGATGGAAGAATTGCGTGGCAAGGCTCCCCCTTTTCCTTTCTACAAGTAACCTTTTCTTTCTTTGGCTTTCCACTCCAAGAGGATTGCCTTACTTAACTCTTTGGACGCACTGTTTGCTTATCTCCTCGCCCTTAATTTGATTTTGCCTTGGCCAACCCTCCGCAACAACATGATGCTGACGTCTCAACCTAGTTCTTGTTAATATGGTATTTCCAAGCACGAAATTGGAGTCTGAGATTTGACCTGGTACGGCGGATTATCGGGGAATATATAATGCCGTCCGCTTCCTCGATCTTCAGAAAGTGGTTAATTAGCACGCACATAACAATTTTGCAAAGCTCGTGGACAGGGACTGTTGTTAATTAGTACGCCTAACAATGTGTAAAGCTCGTGACAACGACTATTTATACGATGACGATCTAAGGATCTTGCGCAAATCACAGCTTATTCATTGATCAAGATTGCTCAGTTTGCAACCGACAACGCTTCGAGAGGAACTCTGTGATTTCGTGCCAAACATGTGGCTCGAAGGCTTTGATCGGACTAGCACCTACGTACGTAAAAGGCATCACAACAGTATATTTTGGTTCGGGGAGAAATTTTGGACAAGATGAAATAGATTCTTCAGGAGTACTATGGGTGACAGTGATCAAGAGCGTCGGAGTTGCCTGTCCGAAGCGGTAGTTGCAACAGTACACCCTCCATATTATTCAGATAAATATAACACGACACGCAGCATTTTTCCAAACCAACACTACACTACAGCGTTTCAGGTCGAGTGTCACAACACCACTGTCCCATGACCCCTTTTCATTCGGCACGAGATACTTGTATTTTTAGGTTCTCTTTTCAGCGGAACGCAACCACTGCGTGGGCGCGCGCGTGGACCTAAACTATGCCGCGTGAAATCCCGGCTCGATCTGCTCAACAACACCCATCACCGATCGTGCCATGCATGCACGCCGTTTCTGAAAGAAAAGCAGATGATCGATCGTCGGCGGAGTGATGCATGCCGCGTCGTAGCCATGCATCGAGGTAGCGTTAACTGCAAAGAAAGAAAAGAAACCCCGTCGTGTCTCAGAGAATCGGAGATCGGACCGCCGAGCTTGGATGGATCACCAGCAAGATCGATCGATCGATCCACCGACGGATGGTTTAGAGCAACTTCAACGTGCTGACCCATTTTATCCACACGTATTCGTTTGGAATGCCGGGACAGAAAAATCGACCCAACGCGCCGATTTAAACGAACGCGCGTCCATTTTTCGTTCGTTTGGTGACCCATCCTGGTTTAAATTTGAATCTCATTTGCATCAGCGCGGACACGAAGCGGACGCACGTTACGCGCGCCTACTGCTCCTCCTAGCCCGCCAGTCGGTGGCTCATTGGTCATTCTCTTCCACCTCCATTGATAGCAAGCCCTCACCCGCCCCTCCCCATCAACGTCGTCGCCCAGTTCCGGTGCCCCTGCAAGCAATCCGCGCCCACACACCACCCCCACACACCGCCACCTCCCACGTCACCACCGCCGTCGCCTCGCCGACCGCAGTCGCCTCGCCGCTGGGCCACCGCAACTTCCCACCCCCACCCCAAAGTAGCCCCCCTTCCCCCATGCCCTCAGCCAGCTCCTTTGTCTGACGCCGCCACGCTCATCGAACGCTGCCAGACCAGCTACCTGGTCCATGGGAGGCGCGCGTCTCTTCGCCTGCCATCTTCTTCGATGACGCCCGCAAACTATTCGACAATTTGCCTCCAAGGTATAAATGGACTCCGTCGACGAGTTCTTTTTTCACAATTTCCTCTGCGACTTCGACGATGAGGAGATGGTGGCTGCCGTGTTGGTCCATGGCCACCTTAGTAGGCAGGGGCCATTGTTTCGGGGCTCGATCCCGGGGCACACTCCAGCGTTGAATCGCAACCGAGGGAGAGGTCATTTCCTTCTTTGGAAGGACTACTTTGAGACACCCAACCCGCTCTTCAAACATCACCAATTCTGGTGCCGTTTCCATATGGCTAGGCATGTTTTTAATCGTATTCGAGAGAGGGTTGCTACCTGTGAGCTACGTTGGGATTTTCTCAAAAAAGAGAGGATTATGCAGTACAGTAGAGATAAGTATTTTACTCAGTTAAGAAATAAGGTTATCAATTCAGTAGGAGAATCACACAACACCTCGTTAGCAGTACCTACACACAGAATAACAATTACTTGCACCCAACGCGAACAAGGGGTTGTCAATCCCTTAGGGTTAATTGCGAGGATCAAATCTCGTAGTGATAGATAGATAGCACAAAAATACAAAAAAAGTAAAGAAAAATTATAGCAAGGTTTTTTTGATTTTAATATATGATAAAAAGTAGACCCGGAGGCCATAGTTTTCATTAGAGGCCTCTCTTTTGAAAATAACATACGGTGGATAAATAAATTACTGTTGGGCAATTTATAGAAAAGCAAATAATCATGATGATATCCGAAGCAATGATTATGTATATAAGCATCATGTTCGAGATAAGTAGACCGACTCCTTCCTGCATCTACTACTATGGCCCTGTTTGGTTCAGCTTTTATCGACGAATTCCGCTGTCGTGCAGCAAAATCTGAACCTAAGGGCGAACCCAGCAGAATCCGATTCCAGAAATCTGTTGCCAAAATCTGAACCAAAAGCGGAAGCAGCCCAGGACGTGCTTTCCAAAATCTGATTCCGCTGCGGGCCAAAATCTAAAAAAACTGTATCAGCTGGTTTGCCAAATGACCTACATCTTTTTCACATCAGATTTTCCACAGTTGTTTTTCCACAATAGATTTTCACATCTGCTTTTAGAAATCCATAGCCGAACCAAACAGGGCCTATTACTCCACACATCGATCGCTATCCAGCATGCACTCAGAGTATTAAGTTCATAAAGAATGGAGTAACGCCTTAAGGAAGACGACATGATGTAGACAATGTGGGCCGGCTGGTAGGAGGGGGCCGGCAGCGCCTGGTGCTGGTCGGGCCGCGGTCCGGCGATGTAGGACTGGTGCTGGGCCGGGCGGGCGCCGAGGATGCCGGGGGATGTCAGGCGGGGCACCTGCATGGAGTATGTGTGGACCTTCCCGGTCCACGGGTTGTGGCCGAAGGCCCATGGCGGGGTGGGCAATGGCTGCTGTTGTGAGGCGGCCCGAGGCGCACCGGATGGGGCGGCCTGCTGCTGCTGGCCCTTGAGCCCTCCCTTGCCGCGGCGAGCGCCGCGATCGGCGGGAGGGGCGGACGCGGACTACGGGGCGGGGAAGGGGAAGCCCGACGGCTGCGTGAAGGTGGTGACCGACTGCTGTGGAGGAGGCGCGCCGCGTGAGGTACCGACAGCGAGGGCGGTATGCACGGTCCGCACCTTCATCTTCTCCATGCGACGTTCCTCCAACTTGAGGTATGCAACGACCCTAGTGAAGGTCGGGTTGAGAATGAGCGTGAGTTTGGACACCGCATTGGAGAAATCCTTGTTGAGGCCGACGATGAGGGTGCTCAAGAGGAGATCACCGGAGAGCTTTTCAGCAATGTC